CACAACCTGACGCTGGCCCGCTCACAGCCACTTCCTCCGCCACCTCCGCCGCTGCCACCAGAGGTCAAGGCGGTGATGTCCATGTGCTTTGTGGCAACTCGTCGCCAGTTCCCCGATGCCGACTCGCTCCGACAGGTATTGGTTAGTTCATTCAAGCTAGTCTGGCCCCAAGTGCAGAATGCCGATGGTTGCGATTTGCCTAACTTTGATAGGATTAATCAGAGCAGCAAAATCTGCTCCGTCGCCGGGGACACCTGCGAATCCGGTGACTTGCTACGAATTCTCCCAAAGACGTCTAAGGCGACCTCTCAAGTTGTAGTCGGAACGAGCGGCAGCAGTCTTGTCGGCAGTGAAGGTGAAGCGGGACGGACAGCAGTATATTCCGTCACGGTCCTCGACTTCGTCGATCTTGCAAAAGGCTCTCAGTCTTGGCTCAGTCGCTTCTGTGGCAAAATTGTGTCCGAGATGTGCTCAAACGGCTCGCGCATAATGCCACATGCGAATCAAACGAATCAAATCCGAGATGCTGCGGATCCGATCCCGTGTAGGTATTATGCGCGAGCCGTTTGCTACCCGCCAGAAGGAATAGCCGGGGAGTACCTCAACATTGCTGTATTCGATACAGACAGCGAAGAGACGAGCATCGCGGCGCTGCGAGTGCTGGATCCCGAGTGGAGCGTGGATTCACCGCCTCCGTGGAGCAGCCTCGACGTCATCTGGATGCTTCTCTGGCTGCTGCCGGCCTGGGTGCCTGCACTCCTACTGCCCGCCGGTGCCGTGGCGAGGAGAAGGGCGTTTAGACGGGCAAAGCTGCTGCTAGAGTTGGAGGGCGCCTTGAGCGAGATTGAGGTGGAGCAAAAGCAGAGCCGATTTGACGAGCCGGAGGTTCGCAAGGCAGTTCGCCAGGCAAGATGGCTCGCTTTCACGCTTCTGCTTCTGGCCCTCGCTCTCGTCCCTTGGCCTCCCTTGGTTGCCCTTGCCGCCGTGCTGCCGCTTGCTCGCAAGACGAGCTGCGAGGTCTGGATCACCTCGAGAGCCTCGCGGCGGTACTGGCTATCTGTCGCGAGTGTGAGCGGCTTGATCTACGGCGCATGGCTCATCGCGAGCTGGAGCCTGATTGGTACAGGGGAGTACAAAAGCCTGTACAAGATAGGGGCAGCAGCCCCTCCAGATAGGGTCTTCGTCAGCACATGCCGCCAGCTCCTGCAAGGTTCCCCAGATGACGCAGTCGACTCCACCGCCACGGGCTACTTCTTGGACGAGTACCGTGGCAAAGTCTGCAGCGTCCTCGCCGACATGCTTACGCCGCGAAACATACCGTTCATCGCATGGACGCTGCTTGCGCAGGGGTGCGTCAGCCTGCTCGTCGCTGTCCTCTCCCTCTTGCTACTCCTCAAGTCTGCAGGGCCAAAGGCCGTCCCTGGTGGCCGCCGCCTTGCGTCGTCCGGGTGGTGCGGCGCGGCGAACGTTGACGGCCTTCTGACGCTCGCCACAGAGCGAACTGCCGACCGCTTCGCCGGCTCCGCCAAGGAGCTCGTTACCGGACAACCCGAGGCGGGCTGTCTCGGGCCGCTCGCTACATGTTTTGAGCTCTTATCTTATCACACACACTCACACACGATGGAATAGGAGGCAGCTACAGGGCTTTACGGGATCATCGGCTACTCGGAGCACTTCCTACACGATCGGATGCGAGAGGGCACCGCCGCGATAGTCCAGGAGGCCGAGGCGCTCGGGGACCCGGTGGTGCTCGAGAACTTGCGCTACATCCTCAACGCGCCGGCAGGGTCGAGCGACCTCGCCTTCCAGAACGGATGGCTGCGCGACCGCGCGCCCGATGGTTCACCCCTCGAGGCACGCGAGGGCATGGTACTCGCCGACTTTGTGGCGCTGCCTGTGGCGCGCAGAGCGAGGCTGGAGGAGGCGCACGTGGTCGCGTTGCGTCTGTACTCGACCGCCGCCTTCCGCGCGCTCAACGGACCGATGCGCCAGCTCAAGATGAGTAACTACCGCAAAGGAGAGGACGGACGCCCTCTCCCCCTCGAGCCTCCCCAGCTGGCGGCGCCGCACCCGCAGCCGGTGACCCCTCGCTGACTACAGCAGCTGGCTCTGAGTCGGCTCTCGTGCCACCTCGCACATCACACCATTGACGGCGGAATAGGCGACGATGGCGTTTATCTACGAGGCGCTCAAGCGGATGCGCGCCCTCGCAGCAGCGACGACGGTCGATCTCGGTAGCAAGGAGCTGGAGGAGCTGGCGGAGAGTCTCCGCTCTCAGAGCGGCGACCTCGATCTCGGCACGCTGCAGCGGGCGCGGGAGGACCGCCTTGTGGAGGAGTCGGCTGACCTGGAGTCCGCGACGCCGAGCGGTGGCGCTGGTGGTGGGTGGCGGTCGATTGCGCTGCAAGCGGCCGGCCGCGTGTTTGCCCGCTCTGCGGAACCGGAACCGGACGACGGTGCGTCTTGCGGTCTTGTGTGAACGGCGTCGTCTCTCCACAGTTTGACGTGTGTACAGGCGAGGCCGCAGGAGCAGGGCCTTGTCCTGTGGCGGGGCATGGGAGACATGCGCGCCTCGCCCCGCTTCCTCGCCATGGGCGGCACCGAGTTTGCCTGCTGTTCGACGACCTCGCGGCTCGAGGTTGCGGCGCGCTACGCGTCCGCCGCAGGCAAGACCGCGTTGTTGTTTTGTATCAAGAGCAGCACGTTCATGAACACGGGCGTCGACATCTCGGACTTCTCCGCCTTCCCGCACGAGAAGGAGTTCCTGTACCCGCCGCTCACGTACATGCACCCCACCGGCACCACCCACCGGCTAGTGCGGAATGAGGTGACGTTCGACATTCTGGAGGTCGAGCCCTCCTTTCCTAGCTAGAGCTCACATCGCCAGGCTGCCGCACGCCCTCCCTTCCTCCCCGCGCTCACGGGCTTCACGGTGGGTGCGACATGCAACAGGCAATCCTCCACGCGTGTGTTTTTGCGCCCCGCCTCCCATGTTGCATGTGACCGTACAAAAATACATGTCATCGTCCATTCCAACCAAAATGAAGGTGTTGGAGCCGTTGGAGCTTGGAGCGTGGAGGCGGCGCGAGGGAGCTCCTAAACCGTGTTGTGCGAAGCCGAATGAAACAACTAACCTCGCACGCACACACACACACACACACACACACACACACACACACACACACACACACACACACACACACACACACACACACACACACACACACACACACACCGCTCACCCACGCGCACTGGGCCTTGCACTTTGAATGCCGTGGGGCTCCTGTCGTCAGACGTGGAGACGCGAGGGTTGGCCCCCCTTGCCCCACCACCTCGTGTGTGTGGAGAAGTTTACCTTACCTTACCTTACCTTAACCTCGCAAGAGGGGCGCTGAGTGTTCGCCGTCAACGTACAACGATTGGGGTAGGGGCCCCAACTCGTGTGTAAGGCTACTACTTTCCGCAGGTACTCACCGAGAGGAGCGTCTTCTCATATGAACAAGGGTCATCATCCCTCCTGCCAATCTTCACGGATTTTCTCGTGAACTCAGGCGCGACGTAGAGCCGTAGCCCCGTACGTCCAAGCACGTTCCGCCTTCTTCGCCCCCGCGCCCCGCGTGCCTCGGCCCCGCTCTTTGCGTGGTGCTCCTGCAGCTTCTCTCGGATCGTGAAGCCCATATAGACAAAGTAGTCACACCCACTCCCTCCCTCCCTGTGTCTGGGAGGGAGGGAGTGGGGTGCAGGTTGCTCACCCACGGCACCGGGCCGGTGCTCGTGCACTTTGAATGCCGTGGGGCAAGCCCATTCATGATTACAATGAATAACTCAACTCATCCTTTGGCAGCTTGTATTGTTGAGTATGAGTAGTCATGACGTCTGGTATCCATGAATATGAATAGTCACGTCTGCCTGTACTCATGAATATGAATAATGTATTCAAATACAAGTGCGTGAGCAACTTGCAGGTAAAACCCGGAGAGGTGAGCTGTACTGCTACGCATATGTAATCGCCCAGAATGCACAGATCGGCCATGTTATGTAAATACGCGCCCGCGATCCATAGTGCGTCGGCCAGACGTCGCGTATTTCGGTGTCGTGCCCGAGCCAAGTGGCGCCTGAGGGAGCTACAAATGTCTTGCGTATTACGAATCTGTCTTCTGCATCCACCTTCGGCCGATCGGGGTGTGCCTCTCAAGGCGCGCTACGCCCCACGTACTACGCACACACATTCCGGATCGAGTGAGAAGTGGTGGCCGACGGGGGTTACGCCTCACGCATTACGCATACGTTTTACGCATTCGCACGCCCAAGGTGTCGGAGAGGGCCTACGCACCACGTACTACGCACACGCATTCCGGATTCGAGTGAGAGGTGGCGGCCGACGGGGGTTACGCCTCACGCATTACGCATACGTTTTACGCATTCGCACGCCCAAGGTGTCGGAGAGGGCCTCCGCACCACGTACTACGCACACGCATTCCGGATTCGAGTGAGAAGTGGTGGCCGACGGGGGTTACGCCTCACGCATTACGCATACGTTTTACGCATTCGCACGCCCAAGGTGTCGGAGAGGGCCTACGCACCACGTACTACGCACACGCATTCCGGATTCGAGTGAGAGGTGGTGGCCGACGGGCGTTACGCCTCACGTATTACGCATACGTTTTACGCATTCGCACGCCCAAGGTGTCGGAGAGGGCCTACGCACCACGTACTACGCACACGCATTCCGGATTCGAGTGAGAAGTGGTGGCCGACGGGCGTTACGCCTCACGTATTACGCATACGTTTTACGCATTCGCACGCCCAAGGTGTCGGAGAGGGCTTACGCACCACGTATTACGCATACGTATTACGCATCCCCCCCCCCCCCCTTTATGTGCGCGCACTGGCGCTGCCGCTAGGGCTGCCATAAGTTGGCTAGGGTTGTATGTGCGCTGGTAACAACAGACTCGGGCATAGCCCTCGACAGCCACCCCCTAACCCCCCAACCCCCCCCTTTATGTGCGCGCACTGGCGCTGCCGCTAGGGCTGCCATAAGTTGGCGCTGCCGCTAGGGCTGCCGCATAATCATGAGCCTGTCTCCAAACACCTCTCCGACGCGCTCGACTATAGTCCAAATTGGACGGTGGACTATATGTCGGGACGGCGGCCATTTGCTCAGGCGTCAGAATGCTGAGCTCGTACACTGGCAGCTCCGCAGAGGTTGAGGACAGCGGCGGCGGCGCGGTGTCCCTGCCCGCCTCCCTGCGGGCGCTGAAGAGCGCCGCCTGCTCGGCGGTGGCGAACATGCCGAGGCTGATATTCTTGCCGCCATCCCACGCCTGCAGCTTGTACTTCTTGCGGCCTTGCTCCTTCGGGCAGAAGGTCACGCCTTTGTAGCCTGTGCTGTTGTTGCCGCTGGTGGCCAGAGTCAGGCCCTCCCTCTCCGCCTGCCGTATCGCCTCGAGGCCATCGGCAGTGGGAGCAGCGCGGGGCTGCAGCAGCTTGGCGGCGTCGGCGTGGCCGTACTCTGAGCGAGCGTAGGCGGTGGCCGCCTCTTCGGCGGTGTCGAAGTAGCCGAGGGAGACATCCTTGCCACCATCCCTCGCCCGCGCAACGAACCGCTTTTTGCTGCGGTCGAAGGACACACCCTTGTAGCCAGTCGTGCTGTTCTTGGCGATGGCTGGGATCAGCACAACGCCCTCTGACGACGCGGTCCGCGGCGGGGCCATCATGCAACGCACGTAGATTCGCAAGTTTGACAATTGGGATTCGTATTGGATTGTAAAACAATGCTGCGAGTGGCCTGAACATTTGCCACGCAATCATCTGTTTTGGCGAGCACAAAAAGAAAAATACGTAATGCGTAATGCGTATGCGTGATACGTAAGGGGGGGGGGGGGGGAGGCTTGGGGGCGCGCGCGGGGCGAGATACATAATCCGTAAACGTGAGACGTGGTACGTAAGGCACCCGCCGCGCGGGCCATTGCACCGTCCCCGGGGCAAAGCTTTGCGGTGAAAAGGACGTATGCGTAATGCGGATACGTGATACGTCGAAGACGCCCCGCCCTCTCGCGGGCCGCGGCGCACCGGCGGAGATCCATAATCCGTATACGTGACACGTGGTACGTATGAGGCAACCACAGGGCCATCGCACCGTCACGCACGCGATGATTACGTGTATGTATTGACGTTTTCTATTTATTTTTGAAGGGGGAGGCGTTCGACGGGCTGCGTAATGCGACGCATTTGGACTGGCAAGTGACGTACACGCACCGAGTTTACGTATTCCCGAGAGGGCGTAATGTGATGCGTATGCATATGGGCCTCCGTGCATATGCGTAGCAGTACAGCTCACGATTGAAAACCCGGGTATACCCGCAAAAGTCCAGGTATACCCGAGAAATACCCGAGTGCGCGTCCACATGCCGCGCACGCCTACTCGCAGGGCCACTGCGCCAACTGCGGCGCTCACCGCCTGCTCAAGTACGCGCACCGCACCATGTGTGCTCGCTACAAGTGCCAAAAGGCAGCATCGGCGCAGCGCCAGGCGCGGCTGGCAGGTGGCGGTGCGGACGACGCGGTCGTGCCGACATTCTGCTACAAGATTGAGGCGGTGCTCGGCATGCGCTTTTGCGACCCCGATCAACTGATCGGAAAGAAGCGGCGCAACAGGCTGGCTGCTGCGAGGGCATTGAGGATTAGGCAGCCAGTAGTGCTAGTGGCGTGGCTCGATAGATAGAGGATTTGTCGTTGTTCATGACCGGGCTATCGTTTCGCGTGCGCTGTGAGAGAATAGTGACCAAAATTAAAACACACAAACCGAGCCACAGACGATACAGGGCACCGCGGCTAGATATTCACGATGCCACGGCGGCGGCATCCGACGACGAAGCCGCCCCGGCCGCCCCGGCCGCCGATGGAGATGCCGCACCGGCCGCGCCCGAGGAGCCCTCCTTGTGCTCGCCCCCTTTGCCTCGGAACAGCTCGTAGTACTTCTCCTTGATCGCTGCCACTGCCGGCTCGAAGGCCTTCTTGTTGAAGCCAATCCTGACCAGCACAGCGAGGTGGGCCGGGTTGAGGTTGGGGTCTGCCAGCAGCCCAGCGCGAGAGAAGATCTGCTCGACGTTGGCCTCGCGCGGCAGGTGGCACGCAGTCTGCTTGAAGAGAACGTAGTGCAGCGGGAACTTGTTGCGCAGCGCCCACATCATGGCGAACTCGTTGAGCAGCCCATCCTCCGTGGTGAACTTTCGCCCTTCCCAGAACGACCCGGGGAACTTGACCTGCGTGCCGAGAAGACTCATCGGCTGCCGAAGCAGCTTGTATTTTGGCACATCTAGCCGAGGCTGGGCTCTTCCCTTCCTCTTTGGTGGCATATGCGAAGCGCTGGAGCAGAGACAGCGGTCGGTCGACAGGGAGCGCGTTTTGGGACTCTGGGATGAGTAGTATTCATGGACTTGAGTACATTTACTCACGCATGCGCCAGCCGTACTCATGAGTATGAATACTCAACTGCGGTGGTACTCATGAGTTGAGTACTCACGATGCACGTGTATTATGAGTACAATACTTGAATACTATTGTAATCATGAATGGGCTTGCCGTGGGGCTCCTGCCCGTGTCCCGGGCGTGGAGATGCGAGGGTCGCCCCCCCTTGCCCCACCACTTTGTGTGTGTGGAGACGTTTACCTTACCTTACCTTACCTTAGTCACACCCTTTCCTCGGTTCGCCCGGGTGCGGGACGTACCGTACACAGAGCCGCGCACACGCCGACTCGCAAGCGGCAAGCAGGAACATCTATCCGACACCAAAACAACACGTACAGCTCGCGATCAACGCAAACCTCACAAGACCTGACAAGTACAAGTACTGTCCCTCCAAGCTAACGAGATCGGCCCTCCCTCATGTATCAAACCCATCCGAAACCTCACTTTGCCCTGCGCGCGACGGCCCGGACGGCAGCCTCCCACACGCCGCGTCGCGCCGGGTCGTGGTGCGCTCCCACAAAGAGGAGCAGCGGCTCGGAGCAGCGCAGCGCCTCGACCGACAAGAGCGCGGCGAGGCACGCCTGCAGCGGTGCGAGCCGCTGGTCGCCCTCCTCGGAGAGCGAGGAGGGCAGCCGGAACTTGGAGGGCAGCTTGGCGGCGGAGGCGGCGAGGGCGGCCGGGCACTGCCTCCGCAGCTCGCACACGAGCTGGTCGAACTGCGAGAAGCGCCGCTCCACCAGCCAGCCGCGCCCCGAGCCGGCGCCGCCGAGGACGGAGAGGTCGTACGCCACGTACGGCCGCGTGCCGCTGCGCACCGCCGCCTTGTGACCGCTGACGTGCAGCAGGTGGTGCGGCTGGAGCCGCTCGCGCGCGACCGCGGCCGGGGCGGCGGCGGCGGCCGCCGTCTCCGCCGCCCCGCGGCTTCCGCCGCTGGACACTTCCGGGCCAGGGAGGAGGGGCGCGGCGGGCGAGGGCGGGCGCAGCGACGGCGCGGCGGCCCTGAGCGGGGTGCTCGAGCTGCCCGGCGCGCCCGCCGTGATGCCGCGGTCCACGCCCGCCGTGATGCCGCGGTCCACGACCGAGCGCAAGCGCAGCAGCACCGGCTCCTTGGCGGCCGCCGTCGAGAGGCGGTGCCGCTCGGCAAAGGTGGCGCTGAAGCAGCGGAACTCGAGCAGCAGCGCGCCCGCCTCGGGCGGGGAGCGGCGGCGCTGCTTCCACTTCCGCTTGAGACGCTGAGCCAGAGAGAGCGGCGCGCCGGCAGAGGCGGCGGGAGCGGCAGCTCCGGCAGCCGCGCCGCCCCCCCCGCCGGGCGCCCCGCCCCTCCCTCCCCCAAAGGCACGCCTCGCACTACTCCCGGCGCGCCTCCCGCCCGCCCACCATGCCTCCGGCCTCGGCCCGCCGCCTCCTCCGCCCGGTCGCCGCGCGCGGCGCGGCTCGTCGTCGCTGTCGTCGGCCGAGCCCGAGCTCGCCCCGATCTCGAGGTCGGAGGTCAACGAGCCACCCACGCTCGACGACGCGACGGGCGAGGCGGACGGGCTCGGCTGGCTCTGCAGGCTCGGCTGGCTCTGCAAGCTCTGCAGGCTCTGCAGGCTCTGCAGGCTCTGCAGGCTGGCCGAGCGGGCGAATGTGCTGCCACTCTCGCCAGCCTCGCCTCGCGCGCTCCCCTGCACGCCGCCACACCCGCGGCTGCACTCCCCGTCGCTCGAGGCCTCGATCGGCGACGAGGCCTCCGCCGCTCGGAGCCGGCGCCGCCGAGGCCCGCCGCCGCCGCCGCCGCCGCCGCCGCCGCCGCCGCCGCCGCCGCCGCCCGCAGCGATCGCCTCCTGAGGGGCCCGCTCCTCCTCCGCAAGCGCGTCCTTCCGCCGCCGCGCGCCCAGCGCGAACCAGCTCGAGCCGCACGCCACCTGCGACGGCGGCTGCATCCGTCCGGCGGCGCGGTCCGCGCTCTGTCGCTCGCCTATCGGACGCGTCTCGGACATGTCGTGGACGTGTCCTGGACGTGGCGCGCTCCGCGCTCTGGCGCTCGCAGAGCTCGCGGATGGAGGAGAGGCGGATCGCGACAGAGCCGAGGCAGTCTGCGTGTGGCTGTGGCAGGCCCGGCTTGCCCGCCGCAGGCTTGTGACGCACGCGGAGCAGGAGGCGCGCCTGGAGAGGGGGGGGGGGGGGCAGCGTGGACGCGTCGCGTGCCCTGTGAGGTGCGCCGTGGCCGCCGCTCGAGTCGCGCGCGTCGAGCGACGTGACGTCGTACGAGACGTCATGCCCCCACCGGAAGCCTAAGTACTAGTTCACTAAGTAACTGACTTAACTCATTAACGAGACGCCGTGCCCCCACCGGAAGCCCTGCAGCCAGCCCCGCGGCGCCGTCTCGTGCTTGGAGCGCGGCTTGTCCTGGCCCTGGTTCTACAAGAGCAGTTCGACGTGGACGTCCCCCTTGCTCGAAGGGGGGGCCACCCAAGGGCCCCCGACGCGCACCCTGAAAAGGGGGGGGGGGGGGGGGGGAGGGTTTTTACAAACAAGCCCCCCGGGGTCTATTGACCCTTCCAAACCCGGGGGGGGGGGGGGGGG